TTTTAGCAGGGCTTATAGTTTTAAATCGAGACCTCTAATTTCCAGCTTCAGCCATTTCCAGCTTCAGCCGCGACAATGATTAATAACATTATTAACTAAAAACTCGAAGGTCAATCACTAGCCTTACTGGTAAGTATTTGTTTAATATTACGTATTAGCGATAATCTAGTTTTTTCATCTTATATAGTAAAGATTCTCGCTGAATACTTCGCTAAATTTTGAAAATCTATCAAAAGTACAAACGTACAAATGAAATGCTTTTTTTCAGTAGTGCGTTTGAAAAATAGCAGTATTTTTAGTGTACTTTACTTTATAATAATATAGAACTTTTGATGCTCAACTACTTTCTAACAGTACGTATGTTACGGAATCGTAAAAATTGACTTCTATATATAGCGTTATCTGATTGGTGGAGATGATTTTGCTGCGGCTGCGGCTACGGCGATCATCATGTGACAGTACTTTGGGGGCCGCCCTGGCTATTTCATACTTTATAGAATTAGAATTCTGGAATTACTGTATAGAATTACTGCGCCGGTGTAACTCGTCTTCGCGGCACCAAGACGAGATTATTTTTTCAAGCTTTCTGCTCAACAGAACGTGTTTTTCCATCAAAACTCTTGTGAAGTCTTCAAGTCGAACTCAATGACAGTAGCGGAACTTGTGAAAGGAACAGCGGAACTTGTGGAAGGCTATGAAACAAAAAAGACAGAACGTTTTATACAGTATGCTTATTCTTCTTTCACTGTGTTGTTTGGTCAATTAAGGTGTAAATCTTTAAACGTAAACCTAAAACCTAATATTAATGCAGTCAAATGAAACAAAAAATTGCTATGATAAGCTTCAAGATTCAGAGGAAAAGCGTACTAGCAGTGCTTGTACTGAGTGCCGAAATTCGAGAAAAAAATGTAGCAATGAAAAACCTTGTACCCGCTGTATAAAGAAAGGTTTAATTTGTAAAACTATTGATAAATGCAGTAAATGCAGATACAAAAGATATGTAGTCGAAGGCAAGTTGTATTGTAACAAGTGCTCCGAAGAAATTGGACACGATCAAGAGGCGATACAAATCGATACAAGTAAGCTAGCATCTTTAATTTACCATTTAATAATATTTTCAGATAATTTCAACTTAATACTTTTCTGCAGATAACTATTCCACTGTTTTGGGTCAAAATCTACCCTTTTACCCCCTTTACACGTATGATTATTCAATAGCTGCAAACTACTGTAACGTGGAACTGATTCAAAGTATATATAACGATTTCATTTGTTATTTTGGTGCCTTTATTGTATTAAAGTGCCAAATAAGAAAAATTTTTTCTTCCTCTAGTTGTGCCTTCAGAGGAATATGATAATACCATGGATCCACAATATTATAGTATTAGAACCGTAAGATTACGATTTCCAGAGTTTCATCTTTTAACAATTTATGCAAACCGTATATTAATGAAATCTAATTTATTGCTATAGTCAAACGAGTAAGCAATCTTCGGGAATAGACCGCCTAGGTGCAATTGTGGTCTGAATTAGCTATCTAAACATAAGTTTCATATATGTTCCATACGTAAATTACATACGTAAAATATTTCTAGTTTTCTTAATTAAGATATTACTAAGATTGCTGATATCTACTCTTTTGTCAGATGAGTATGTTACCGATAAAGATGACACACTTTCTTTCTGATAGAATTATATAATTTTTGTTAAATTTTTATTAATAAATTTATATTTCGTTGAATTTGAAATTTGAAATTCTCTTGTTAATAAATTTGGTTTGTATGAACCGTGCTAGACAAGGTGTATAAATAAATAAAGTTAATGCTTATGTCTTTATTAATGAATTAGAATAAGTTAACTTATTACAAGGAAATTCATGATAACTTCAAATATTCCAAAAATTATTTACACCAAAACTTAGAAATATCGATAAATGTTAAAATATTGATTTGTTAAAAAGGCTAAGAATGAATTGAAAATGATATTTATCATTTTTATAAAAAAATGTCTATAAAATTTCCTTGGTTTTATGCACTCAATTAATTAGAGAACAGAGACCTCGAATTAATGAATCATTATTTGCAACCAAGAAAAATTAATCGTGTAGTTGTCTATTATTCTCATTATACGGATCAACTTCACGATAAATAAATATGAATTGAAGCTTTGTTAAAGAAAGAAAAAAATAAAATCCCAATGATTTAACTTGTACGATATTTAACAACAGTATGTACAAAATTTTTAGAGTTTTCGTGAATATAATTGATGTCGTTGTAGTAATGTTTCAACAGCAAATTCCATATTTCCATTATACCAATTTATCAACTCTTCTAAATTTTCACCTTCAAATCCCATATCTCTTAAAAGTTTTACCTTTTCAGCAACAACTTCATTGATATTTCCATCACATTCCCTTCGTTGATAACATTGATTTCTCCTGTTGGGTTGTCTTCTATGCCATCTACCAAATCGACATCCACGATAAAATCTTTCTCTGTTATTATTGTTGTGAAAAAAGAAATACTTAAATGCAAACACTACAATCAAAAATTTTAATAATGGATAAGTTGTAAAAAAGTATGTAGAAGTTATCATTACTAGTGATATTAATAACAAAAAATTTATGAATTTGTAAAGAGAGATTGCTAATGAGAATACAAATTCTAAGAATTTGAATAAAAATTTCGAGACATTGTAAAGTGTTACTGCTGCTGGGCAATGCCTACGCGTACCGAATGATTGATGACAATATGAATTATAATCATTATAATCGTTGAATCGTGCATCACAATGAGGACAGTCGTGATAAATCCAAAATATGTTTTCTTCATCGTTATCATCATTTGGTTGATCATTATCAATCGGTTGACCTGATTCATTTTCTTTATTGTTATTATTAGTTGGTTGATCTGATTCATTTTCTTTATTGTTATCATCAATTGGTTGATCACGATCAGATTCAGGTTGTTTTTCTTCTTTTTTAGGTAATTCTTTGGATTTTTCTTCGTCGACGACAGGTGAAGATGACGATTCACTGATAGTTTCAGGTTGTTGACCAACTATAGTTGGTTTAAAAGTTGGTTCTTCAGTTTCTTTATCAACGACTGTCGCATGTTTGTAATCCTGATTCTTTTGAAATTCGGAAGATTCGATGAACATAAATGGTTGTTGAGATTCATTTGAACTTTGTTCTTGGGATTCGTGCACATTTATTGGAGAAGCTTCTGAGCCATCTTCCTCATCGGAAGAACTGAAACTAATCACATCACTATCATTTGTAAATTTAGGCAATCCATCCTCCTTTATTTGCGAAGGACTTTCTTCTAACACCCAACTATTTTTTTCATTAGGGACAAGTTCATCAGGAGTAGACAAAACGAATTTTACAGAAGAACCGAACAAAGTTTGGTCAGAAAGTATTTCTTGAAGCTCCAAATCGCTCGATAGAGTGATGATATCACCATCTTCATCGGTATATGAGAGAGAGATAGGAGTTTTCGGTGGCATCTGGAAGAGTGAGCGAATCTGGGATTCAAAGAACGACCAACTAGTGTCGTTTGGAATCGTGAAACGGCGAATTATTGAACCATATAAAACTTTGACGTTCGCCATTAGTAAATTTATTGAATTTATTACAACTGAATGTCGATATATATACGGTCAATAATTAATACGTAACGATTATTCGAGTTATCAAATAAGGGAATTGAAATAAATATCTGTTTCTACAAAGAGAAACCGATTTTTTTATAGCTATTATATATTTTTCATTTCATAAGATCATCAAAAAATTCTTGATTACGCTGTTTGCTAGCGCAAGCGCTCACGTATTTAACTTAATGAATACGTATTATTCATTGTTATTAAAAATACGTACTACGTACGCATTTTACATTGCGTAAGTGATGACGAGTACAATTACGTATTCATGGGAATACGTATGATAAATTCGGAAAATAAATTCCCCGAAATTATTACCAAATTGCAACCCGAAAATGTGTACCAGGTTGCGCTCCGGATTATCACGTGATAATCCGGAATGAATATCCGGAAAATTTTTGAAGTTTGATTTCATTATATACTTCGCGCAAATATTACAACACATAATAATACGGTTAAAAACTTTTTATTATTATCAATTTTGTTTGCATGTGTT